CCCAAATCTTTAGATTTTATAGTTTCTGAGATATCGACATTCATACAGACAGATTGACAAACGGACAAAGCCAGAAGCTTATGATCCTGATACCTGAATATATATTCTATAGGATTCCTTCAACCTAGTACATACTCTTCGGCACAATATATCCTTTCACTCTACGAGTAACTAGTATAAAAACCTCATTAGTATCCATGTCATATAAAGGCTAATGATTGTCAAATTATTTGTAAACAAGAAAGTTCGGATATATCTTCCCTAAGACAAAATTATTATACTTTTTTCGTGGAAGCAATGCTTATGTATACATGTTAAAATGATGCTGCTTTTGGCCCTAAGTAGTGTCCTGACATATTTTAAATTCCAATAAAGATCTTCCTTTGAGTCTGGCATTTCGAATTAATTGCAGATCTTTCGGATCTTTGGCCGGTTATTGCATAAGAGCCCTACCCTTAACCTAACCAGATCAGCTCGTTTTGGGGCTGGCATTTAACGTTAAATGGAGCGCAGCCGCGTCAGAATTTAATTAATAACCGAGCATGCATCTTCATTATAAATCATCACTTCTCAAGTGTTTGTCAGGCGCACACAGCATAAATCACGGACGGAGTACGGGCGGAGTTGCACTGGCAGTCGCGTGGAACTGTCCGTCCTCCGGCCGTAATGTCGATGTTTTTTGTCCCCTCTTTTTGTCATCGCATCCAGCTAATGATGCATCAAGTCCTGCGGGGTGTTAGCTACATCTAACTTGGGCCTCGCCGGCACATCGATCATGGCTCTGCTCCAGCCACAAAGGCAAACATCTGTATCTGTATCTGTGTTTGTATCTGTATCTGTATCTGTGACACTCCCACGCCATTGTGTCGCATATTCCTGGGGTTTCCGATTACGTCAAAGGTGAAGTGGTCTACCACTTCACCATGGGATTCCTTGGCGGGCGTGCATTGAACTCTTTGGGAAATTGTATCCTGATTAATTCGTTGGGCCGTCTATTTGTTTGCTTCGACGCTAATTTGTGTGAAAACCTAATAGAGCAAGCAATGATATAGAGTATGTAGTACATATAAAGATGGCAACATGGTTTTAAAAAACTACATTTAAGAAACACTCTTTTTGTATCAAAGGCAAATGATTAATATTTTAAAATCTTTAGCAGTATATTTAGCATCAGACTATTCCTTGAAAGTAATTGTGAATATACCTAAACACAAAGGACCAAAAAGTTTCTTTATAGAAATCTTTACTTTACATAGATATTTAAAAAATAGTTAAATAGGGAAATATATTAAAATAAACAGAAAATATAATTCAAGAATATATTTTTTAAATTGTTATTAATTGAATTTTGAAACACATTGTAAAATATTGTGAATTGTACCTAAACATAAAGGACCAAAAAGTTTCTTTATAGAAATCTTTACTTTACATAGATATTTTAAAAATAGTTTAATAGTGAACGATATTAAAATAAACAGAAAATATAATTCAAGAATATATTTTCTAAATTGTTTTAATTTAATTTTGAACCACATTGTAAAATATTTTCAAAGTTTTCAAAGTTATAAAATAAGGAGTATGATTGAAAGAAAATTTTGAAAAATGTATAAAATTAAATAATTAAATTATAATTTAATAATAAATCATAATAATAAGAAAAATTTAAAAATAAATATTGTTAAGCTATTTAAAATTTAATACAAATCTAAAATTATTATTAAACTGAAACGGTTGAAAGAACATTTTTAAAATTAAATATTTAAATAGTAAATAAATATAAATGGAATAAATTGTACAGATATTCTTATGAGTAGGATATCCTTAATTAGTGCGGAAATTAAAAATGATCGCGTACAGATTGTATTACCAGAAGTCTGCACATAAGTATTCAGTCATGAATCATCTTCACCTCAACCCAACCTTAACTGTGTTCCATTCATGAAAACTTTCTCGGGCAATGCAAACCATCCCAAGCAGACCAGCCTACGCCTTATAAACTGACAGATATAAATAATAATTAAGAAAAAATGAACGAGAATGAACTGCATATTATTAATTTAATGTGCGCTCGTTTCGAATTCGGAGTTCGGGATGTGAGTTCCCGGTTCTGGGTGCTCTTTTCCGAGAAACATGCTTGGGGAGGAGCTCGAGGAGCAGAAAGGCGTCATTCCGTCAGTCCGTGTTGTGTTTATGTTTCAGGCGAGCAGACAAGACTCATAAATTACAACCAATTATCAAATTAGATTCTTACAAAACATGCAGTTTAAATCATATAGGAGTGTTTCGCTTTTTACGACACAATCAGCCGCAAAGCGCCGGATTCTTAGGATGCTCTCGGATTTCCTTGCTTTTTTAGTGTGTTTTTTATTTACGCTTTTAATGGGATATTTATTTTTTGTTTGGATCAAATGCAGAATCATTTCGGATTCATGGACTGCTGATGGCGGCAATTAAAGAAAAGCTATGCCATTGGGAGAGAAAATTAGCAGACAATGTGAGCCCTGACAACTACGGGCAATTAATTTGGTGTAATTACTCAGGGCTGACTGACAGATCTGGAGTCTGTATGTCCGTATGTCCGTATGTCCGTGTGTCCGCATGTCCGTATCTGTATCCGTATCTCGAGTGTGTTGCCACCTCAACGCATCAACGGCAGTGGGATTTCTCCTCGATCTCCAACAATTGCGGCGGCATTTTAATGAGCCAAACGCGGGGCTGGCATTTCCCCTCGAGTGGCGGAAAATTGCCCCCATCCCCGTGAAAAGGGGTGCAGGGCAGTGCTGCTCCTCTAGGGATCCTACTAATTGACATCGGCAGTCGTCGTCGTAGTCGTCGTCTGTGATATCAAACAGCTTCACGCGCAAATTGAAACTGATAATTGCGCCGGGACAGATTTATGGTACTAACTGATGAGCATATGTTTTAATTAATTTCGAAGAAATTATTTTTAAGCAAATTCTTTGCTTAAATCTTCAATGTCTTGCGATCAATTTAGTAACTCCACTATGTGACGTGTCTGTACGTGGTAATTATGACAAATGCCTAACCCGAACATGAGCCCTCCTAATATCCATAATGCCACAAACATATTATATATATATACCCCATCCCCCATTTGGTGGCCACATCTGCATGACATTTTTTGTTGTTGTCTTGTTTGGGGCTCGCGACATTTTCTCGAGACGCCATCCGAGGGAGATTAATGCGGTGAGGAAAATCATAAATTAATTAGAAACGCTCTAGTCCGGCCTGGAGTGGAAATCGCTCTTTTTAGTGACATTTAGCGGCAATTTATTGTCATTAGTGGCAGATGGAGGGTCGCAGGCAACTACAGGTGTTGGCACAGAACCGCTTAATTAGCTTTTATTATTAGCTACGATGTGGCAACTAAGTGGCCAAATGTGGGAGACCCAACCAACCGATCGTCATTCCCGATCCCCAACTCCTCCTCCGACTCACTTCCTGTTTGAAAGTTGGCGCCTAATGCCGACGTTTAGGGACAATTAGCGACACGCCTTTTGGCGCCAGCTAGCCCGGAATTTCAGCTAGTTTTTGGGGGCATGTTTGTGGGTGCCTCAACCCGGATTGTGAGTCTGGATGAGTGCCAGGGGCAGGTTCAGAGCATTCCACTCTGTCGTCAGAGTGTCGCGACTGGAGCATCCTGCCGACGGGGCTCTAGGCTAGAGAAACACCATCGATCATCCTGCAAGTCAGGGAACTAGGAAATTATTGTTTTATTTCTATGCCTACAAATACCTCTTGCAAATCAAGAAAAATGGTAATGATTTCAGATTTGGTTTGAAAAATATGATATACGAAAATTTTCTGACATACATTTTCTGAATACATTAAATGCTTCCCTTTGTAAAAGCTCAATGAAAAATTTTTTTATTTGACTACCCGAAAATAACTACTTTATTAAGGTTTTTTAAATTATGATTTGGGAAAATAATCAATTATTTTAATCTCCTTTCTGAGCTTAAAGTGCAGTTTATCTTGTCAGGATCTTTTCTGTTTCAAGATAATCCAGAACTGACACAAGCCGAAGTCTAAATCGTTTCGTTCGATGTAAAAAAATATATAAATAATTTTTAAGCACAACTAAACAGAAACGGTATAGTTGAGTTGCGTTTTTGTTTTCTACTTACATTTATGATTCCAAACAATTTTGAAATTTCAACCAGCCATATGGGTTGAGTCGCCGCTAAACAGTTATCGAAGTTTTCCACCCAACAAGATATCTAAAATGTAGTGTATTCTTTTAGTTTCAGCTGGTCACACTACTGCCAAAGGGCATTATCTCAGCAGTTTTGCCTTGACTTTGCTTACATTTTACAAGTTTATCAACAATTAAACAAAGTTAAACCATAATTAAAATGGCCTCAGCGACCAGTTCAAGTGCTCGGCATTTATTCGACGAGTCGAAGAAGCGATTGTGTGCCCGCGTGGGCGTTAATGTGAACAATTTGGGTGAGTTGTGATCCCTGGGGAGCAATCAAATCGATACTAAGCCCTTATTTTTGTTGTTTCCAGGCTCTGTGGCTCGCCAGGTTGTCAGAGGTTCCAAGAGCAACGAGGTGAGCCATACTTTACAATTCCTGTCGATGGAAAAAACTAAGATTGCAACTCCACCACCAGATCATGCATCAAACCCTAAAGAACTTCACCCAAGTGGACGTGGTCTCCGATTACAGCCACCAGAATCTACAGAAGATGACCCTGATCCTGCAGCACGTGGGCTACCAGTACGATGTGATGCAGGATAGCGTCAACCACTTGGATTACCTCAAGGAACAGGTCACGGCCATGGAAAGATGATTGGAAGAGCAAAAGCCTAGACACTAGCATCATCCATAAATATCCATAAACCCCAAAAAGATAGCCGCTGAAGGTCAAGGGCCACCAGAAGAAGTCTTGCTCATGCCGATAAGATAAGCCCTGCCCTGAAATTCCCTTATAAAAGATTCTGTCCGCATGGGATGCCATCGCAGTTGACAAAAAATGCTTAGCCTGGTAATAGCTTTCTTGGCCATCTGGACGGTGTCGGCCCAGAACTCCACGGATGGCGGACAGGATGGACGAATTGTCGGCGGCTGGGAGACGCACATCACCTTCTTTCCGCATCAAGTATCCCTGCAGTTGGGCACTCGCCACGGCTGCGGTGGAAGCATCCTTTCGCCCACCATCATCCTAACAGCCGCCCACTGTGTGCTGGAGTACACCAAACCGCAGTATTATGCTATACGAGCCGGATCCAATGAGTGGGCCCAGGGCGGCAGCTATGTCCGCATTCAACGCATTATACCCCATCCCAAGTTTCATGAGCCCACAAGGATGAACAACGATATAGCCATTGTTCAGCTGCAGCAACCACTCGTCTATAGTCGCGAAATTCAACCCATAAGTCTGGCCACCGCTCAGGACAGAGTACAGCCGATGGCACAGCTCTTTGTCAGCGGCTGGGGCAGTCAGTCGATCTCACAAATGCAACCGGAGAAGCGTCTTCGTTACACGGTCGTCCAGCAAAGCGAACAGGATCAGTGTGCCAGAAACTACTTCGGAGCGGGCACTGTGACCAGCACCATGTTCTGTGCTGGGACTCAGATGGGCGGCAGAGACAGCTGCCAGGGTGATTCGGGAGGACCTCTAGTCACCTCCATCGACGGACGGATGAAACTGTACGGCATTGTGTCCTGGGGCTATGGCTGCGCCAACGCCATGTTTCCCGGTATTTACACAAAAGTTTCCGCTTATGGTGACTGGATAGCGCAGACAATGGAGCAGCTGGGCTAGCTTATTTTTTCCCTCTTAATTACTGCTTCACTACTTAGAGATAATAGTCGAAATCACCGCTACGTAGTCCATAAACAAATCTAGTAAATCTAGTGTGTAAGATTATCCTCCTCTGTAAATGAACTTTCCTCGTCGCTAATTCTCAAGTTCAGATGACTAACAAATAACATAAAATATTACTTATCGAAAACCAATTTGTTAATTCAACTTTAATGTCAAATTACCTTGTTTATGAATGCAAAATGTAAAAACAAGTTTTGGGTTCGTGGCTGGCTTAGTCGCCGATCGTAGTCGCATATAAAATGCGCATCTCGGTGAGCCAAATACCAGTTTTTGGCTCTCACGAACTGCGAACAACGAAGTGTTGGCCAAGTCGTCGTCAGTTACCAATCGCAGCTTGAGTCGAAAGGCAACATTGTCCAGCCATGAAGCAGTTTATAGTTTTGTTGGTAAGTGAGCGTCTACAACAGCTATTACTCAACTATAACTCTTCCTGTTTTTGCATGTCAAGGTCGTTGGTTTGATCGCTGCCACCAGGGCGGATGTGTCCCATTTGGTCACGCCGGAGCCAAAGGTTCCGGCTAGTCCGTATGTGTTCAGCTACCAGGCTGGTCGAGCACCCGGCCATGTGGATCGCCAGCACACTGAGGTGTCCGACGGATCGGGTGTCATCCGCGGCGTCTTCTCCTATGTGGATCCCAAGAACCAGGTGCGCACCGTGCAGTATGTGGCCGACGAGCACGGTTTCCATCCTCAGCTGAGCCACAAACTGGAGGACAGTGCCGCCGTCCAGGCAGCCAAGCAAAGGCATTTCGCGGCCTACAATCGGATTGCGCAAGAGCATGCTAGCCACATTCCAGGCCAAGTCGTAAGTACTCCGTAGGCAGGTGTGCCCCCCCTTCCCCAATGGTTAATAACGATGCATTGTTTTCCCCACTGGCATTGGCATAGGCACTGGCAAACGCTCCACATGCCAGCGCCGCCGTTGCACATGCCACACAGAAGCATCTGAGCGCCTTCGAGCGGATCGCAGCCGAGCATGCGGCCATTGGACGCCAGCAGGAGGCACAGCGTCTGGCACTGGCCGCCCAATCCGAGCATGGTGACGTCGAGGATGGTCAGTACCACCCGTAAAAGATGATGTTCTGAAAGAGTAAACTTTGCTAAAAGAGTTTCCAGAAATAAATAAATCAATGTATATGAAACAGGTGATCTAAAACAGAGATTAAACAAAATAAACATGAAATCATTTAACCAGAAAAACATTTTGGATTTGTAGGTCTTTGAAAATGTACAAATAATACATAAAATAATATTCTTATTTATTGTAACTGGTTTTTCAATGCATTCTCTCTAATTAAAAGTCAAAATCAGATATAATGTAAAACGTTAATTGAGATCTTTCTTTTGTTTTACCCAAATGGTTTGTCATTAATTAATTAAAATTATAACCATGAAAGTGGAGTGGAATTTGCTTTTTGTGTTCAGTTTTATTTGCCACCTTTAACTAGTTTGATGTTTGGTAAAAATGCTAGTAAATTCACGACTTGTTTGGATTATTTTTCTGCTGCATACTGTCATTGTAAGTTTTTTTTTTTTTAATTTATTTCTAAGCCCACAAGTCTTAGCTTTACATTTTTCAACAGGCTAATTCGGAGTTTATGGATCCGTGCACGGATCATAATGGTATAAAAGATGAGGAAGCCAATAGAGCATTAGGAGACTGGCCGAAGGATCTGAATTTGGCTAGCGTTAACAGGACCCACAAGTGTTATGTGACCTGCATTTTGATATATTACAATCTTGCAGATAACTATGGAGAGGTTACCCTTGACAAGTACTTTGACAACGGAATCATTGATGAGTTTGCTTTTGCACCTACTCTAAATCGTTGCTGCTATGAGTACAGCGCAGAGACTGATTTATGTGAGAAAATTTTTGGTGTGTTCAACTGTTTCAGGCAGGAAAGATTACTTCACAAATAATAAATATTAATAAAAAAAAAATAAATTATTCAATTTTACTTTTTTAGCTTAACTTTATGAGTTCTTGCCACACTCCACATTTTGACATAGGTAAACAAACAGCAGAGCTTAATATAAAGGGGTAATAAATTTAAACTTATAAATAAACTCTTGTAAATAACAACAAATTTACGCCGCGCTTTTACTCTGCCTCCCATATCAATTTTTAATTACGAATCTTTAGATTTAATGAATTGTTAACCGCACAATGAGTTGCGATAAAAAAAATATGAATAGCCATTGTAAAAACATTTAATTGTTTTCAATAATATTGTTATAAGTAAAACCAATTGAAAGTTTCTCCTTTAATTCGAAAAGTATGCTGAACCGACAAGTACTACACCTGTTACTAATTTTTCTCTGTGCAAGAGTAGATGTAAGATAAATATTCTATCCGATTTAAAATGTACAAATTTCACATTATTTTTTATTATAAACATTATTTTTGTCCAGGGTAATTCGGCAGTTTTTAATCCGTGCATAAGCAGACCACAGTTGACAGAAGATGAAGCTTCCCAAGTGCTGGAAAACTGGACAAAGAATGTGACTTTGGTGGATCGTACTTTCAAGTGCTTGCTCACATGCTTGCTGATGGATTTGGACCTGGTTAGTAGCTCAGGGCAGGTGCAGATCGATAAGTATCTGAAGGCCGGAGTTGTGGACTGGAAATATTGGGCAATCGAATTGGTCACGTGTCGCGCAGAATTCGAGGACGAGAAGGATGTGTGTGAACTCTCATATGGAATGTTCAACTGTTTCAGGGAGGTAAAACTAGAGTTTGACAAGAGGGCTTCTAAATAATTAAAGAACATAATTTGATAAAATCAAACGTAATTCACCTGTTTTCTTCTGATTCGATTTAATATAAATTTAAACTTGATAAAGACGATGTGCTTAAAGGCTAACTTTTTTTAAATGAAAATAAAACAAGGTGTTCCAGAAACATCTTTTAGTAAAGTTGGTTTTCAAGATTTTTATGATTTATTATGAATAGTAGATCTTAAAAATAGATTTTTATAATCTATTATGAACAGGAGATCTAAAAAATAAAAATAGAATCAAATATCCTTTAAAATGTTTTTGATTTTTAGTTCGACAGAAAATTATAAATATCCGGTTTGTTAAATTAAATCTTCATTGAGTTTCCCACAGTTAAAAGATAATATTAGTCACATGCAAGCCCTTTCTTTTGTACTATTTAAATGCAATCGCAAGCATTATTTATAATTATAAGCATGCAAGTGGAATGGTACTTCAGCTCAGTATCCGTAGCCACCTTCTACTAGTTTGATGTTTGGAAAAAATGCCTGTAAATCTAGTTGCACGCCTAATTTGGATTTTCATTCTGTTGCGATGTCAGTTTGTAGGTGTTCGAATTTTGCATTAATCTATAAACTTATAAATTCTATTTTTTTATTAGGGTTATTCTCAGTATTTCAACGATCCATGCACAAATCATAATGGGATAACAGATGATGAAATTGATAGTGTATTAGAAGACTGGCCTAGAAATCTGAATTTGGCTAGCGTTAATAGGACCCACAAGTGTTATGTGACCTGCATTTTAATGTACGTTAATCTTGTAGATAACTATGGAAAGATTTACCTTGACAAATACTTCAAATCCGGCGTTATTGATGGGTATGCTTTTGCTCCAAAGCTCCATCGATGCCGCTCTGAGTTTAAAAACGGGACCGACATTTGTGAGCATATTTTTGCCATGTTCAACTGTTTCAGGCAGGAGATATTACTGGCCGGAAACTAAATATGTTTATGAAATGAACCAAATATTAACATTAAAGTTCCTCCCACACCTTTATAAGCGCTACGATTTCATACATGGTAAATTCCTTCACGGTTTTGTATGGAAATACATATATTAATCATCACCAATAATAAGTTATTGGCGATGGTTCATTGATAAAAGGATAGATCGACTCAGCTAGTAATCCTGGTCAAGAATATATACCTTATTGGGGCTACCTTTTCATTTTACTAGTAACAAACATAAAACATCTCGCACATTTGTAAGCAAGTCCATACAAACTTCTGCCTTTTTAAAATTCTACTTATTTTAATTCGAAATTTTTTTTTATTTTTAGTTTTTTTTGTCATTATAACAAGGCTTATTTTAAATTTAGACAAGTTCGAGATGTAACAGTTCAACTCTCTGGCAGTTTTATATTCGTTAAAGAAGTATATTAAAATTAAAAAATTAGGGTATTACATTGTTTCCATCCAATCGATGCTACGACCGGTTGGAATTAAAAAAGTTTCGATTATATATTAAGCTTTCTGACTTTCTCGTGTTTGTTTTGATAAGCAAGCTTGAACGGGCGCCGCTCAAAAGATTTTCGGGTTTAGTTCAGTTCCGAGATTCGATACCGCATCACGATCCGTTTCATTCCGTTCCGAGATGAGTCGACTTCCGCTGTGTCTGATGGTGGTACTGGCGGTGGCGATTTGCCCCGGCCACGCCTACAAGGCACCTGAGGCTCAAGTGCGCGTGTTCTATCCCAAGGGATTCGAGGTCTCCATTCCGGATGCGCCGGGTATTTCGCTGTTCGCCTTCCACGGCAAACTAAACGAGGAGTTCGACGGACTGGAGGCTGGGCAATGGGCACGGGACATCCCAAGTGCCAAGAAGGCACGTTGGACGTTTCGGGATCGCGAGACCAAGCTGAACCAGGGCGATACCCTGTACTTCTGGACGTATGTGGTGTACAATGGACTCGGCTATCGCCAGGATGATGGGGCCCATGTGGTCACCAGCTACGACAATCAATAGAAGTGAAAAATTCAAACAACAAAGACATAAAATTTAAAGCCGAGCTTAAAGCTCACATACAATCTTATTATAGTTACACCAAAAAAAAAATTTAGCCAAATTAGAAATTTTATATCAAATAAAAGCTATTGTTAATGAATTTAAAAAAAAAGTTTGTTACAGATAAATGCAGTAGTTTACGATCTTTAAATGTGTTCAACAAAAAATTGTTCTTAATGAGGTGATACATGATTTCGGAAATAATATTTTTTTCTTTCTCAGGAATTAGAGACTCCCTAGGTATATATTTTTCTACATATTAGAAATAGGCTTTACCACTTAACACTTTTTCATGTCAGCTTTTCCTTCTCAGGATCAGAAAATTCAAGAAAATCTTTTTTTTTTATAAAAGTTAATCAATATAATTGATATTTAAATCAAAGGTATGACAAAACTTTAATGAAAATTCATATATCATGCACTCTCCGCCCGTTGTTATTGTCCTCCGCCGCTTTTCATTGTGGCCGTAACGTATTTAATTATTTTCGTTAGTAAAAACACTTTTATCCAATGCAAATTTATGCACTTTTAAACGCTGTAATTAATCATAAATAAAACGCGAGGCATTAATGGCCAAATGGAGCGCAGGGCACTGCAATGCGATGGTCTGAAAATTGCGTAAAATGAAGCTCGCTCTCAAACCAACCGATATAATTTGCTTTATGCACTGACCAGAATGCACGTACTCGCCTACAGTGGCTTTCAAAATATTAGTCATGCGCTGAATAATAATTAAATATTAATTATAAAATTTCCTTTTTGTGCTTTATATTTATTTTATTTTTAAAAATGTCAAAGTTGATCATTTAGAGAAATCATTTTTGAAATTTAAGGTATTAGAAATATAATATTAGCTTAGTTGCTCTATTTATTTTACATAAAACAACATTTAAATCTTTCAATTTTTGTTTGGCTTTGAGTTACTACTCTTGAAGGCTATTTAAGTAGATATATTTTTATTTAAATAGTTTGTCTTTTGCTGATATAAATTTGGTTAGTACAGCTATACATGTAATTTCTGTTATTATCAAATAGTTTTGTAAAAATAATAATTGTAAATAATTATTACGATACTTCCGTTTATACAGGTAAAGGAAGCTGTCCATTTTGTTTGAAATTTAATTAAGGTATTGTAGCTTCCAAAAATTGTATATTTATATTGAAAAACTAATAACGAAGTTAAAGGATTAAAAAGAATATGATCGGATAAACAGCTAATAAACGGGAGATTTAGCTTAAATTTAATACTTTAAAATGGTGGTGAAATAATCTGCTATTATCTTAGCTCCAGCTGTTAGTATGTATTCATACGTACTTATAGCCGACCAAATACACATACTTGCACTCACGCACGGTAGACAACGGGGCAAAAAGTTTCCAAGGATTCACAAGGCAAATTGATGAAGTTTTAGTTGCGGCAACTTCGCTACGTGATGTGTGCGTTACCAGACACAGACGCACTGTCCACGGACCACGCCCCTTTTTGGTCCTATGTCCCTACGATTTCTATTCCTACACGGTGGTGTCGCCCGATTTCGAAGGACTGGGGTCCTTTGTGCCCGTTCGTTAACTTTTTCTCGCTCCCGCTCGCCTCGTTGCGGTGCCTTTTTTGTAAGCAACAACAAAGCAGTAGCAAATGCAATTACAACGCAACGAGCACACATTTTTTGCACTCACTGCGCGCCGAGTTGAGAGTTTGGAGCCACGCTAAATTGGTCTGGCAAATGCTTTTCGAACAGCCCAAGCCTCGCCCCCTCGTCCATTTTTTTTCGTTGCCAGTACCTTTATAATTTTCTATCTTCCTGAGCATTGCGTAGCAGCCGTTAAGCGCTTCATTGGTGTTCTTTCCTTTTCGTTTTTTCCCTTAAGACTGCCACGAATTGCCCAAAAAATTCAAAGGTTTGTCTCCTGGATTGCAAGGGAAATAGTACTGTTAGAATACAGTAGTACAGAACTGAGAACAAAGCTGTTAATTAGCTAATTTAAGATATAAAATTATTATTAAGGATTATTGATAAAAAAAGGACTTTATAAAATACTGTAATTGTTTACTAGTATTAAACAGGTAGAAGGAAGGGTTTTCGACTCTATAAAGTATATATATTCTTAAACCATACTCTAACGCTCTCAAATCGGTAAAGTTTGTCACATCTGTCTGAGTTATTCGGTTAATATCTATCCACTTATACAACAATTAGTAAGGTAATGAGTAATTTTCAGGTGGCTATTTAGCTGACTTAAGTGTTTCAAACAGTCGACTATAGAGTTTTTTCTTGTTTTTAAATATTTTCGGCAGAATTAAATTAGCAATCGATTATAATACTAAATATTTTTATCTGCTCCTCAATTTGATCCCCATTTAAATGTAGCTTATCTTGGAACTTCTAAAAGAAATCGTTAATGAAATTGCTTGAAAATAACAGCAGCAATGTACATATATTATAAGTGTTTTTTGTCGCAGTTTGGGGTATAAAAAGAGCAACGTTCCATGGGAGCTTATCAGTGGGCGATTCGAAATGAACAATATCGGTAAAGTGATCGTCTTTGTGTACTTGATTGTTGGATCCCAAGGACAATGGCTTGATGAACACTGTGGGTCTGGAGGATCAACCAGCCGACCGTGGCTAGCTGCCATATACATATGGGATCCCCAAAAATGGGAAACCTACTTTCATTGCACTGGCACACTTATCACCGACCGTACGTATACAAATATAAATTGTTCTTGTTTCCAAAAGATTTACTATTGCAAATTTCAGGTTTTATTCTCACCCATGCCATACCCAACACCAGAATCGGATACATGTAAGTAACTTGCATTATTTTCCATAAAAACTATAACGTAAGCTCTCTCAAGTTTAAACATTAAATTTGTTCTAAAATTACTTAAGATAAAAAAAATTCAAAAACAAAAGGGATGGAAATGTAATTAGAAAAAATTAACATTTTAAGCTGGGCTTTTTTAGTTCAAGTACCACTTGTTAGAAATAAAAGAGAATGAGCATTCACAAAATCTTGAAAATTAATAACGTTTCCAATTTTAAAACTGATTTGTCAAAACTATTACTAATTTAACTTGTGAAAAGGCTTTAATTTTGTTTTTTTTTACAGCTTTGCTCGCTTGGGAGCAACCTACGACGATGCGCCTACATCACAATGGTACACCACTGAATCCTTGACTATGCATCCCAACTTCAAGATTTATGGAAAACATACCAAGAATGATATATCTCTAATCAAGTTGGATAGGAAAGCTGAGTTCAATGGTAATCATATTTTAAAATTATTGACATTTTTTTCCGACTAATACTGTAGTTTTTACTTCGAAACTTCAGCATTAATCAGGCCAATTTGCCTGTTTCATAGCAAAAGCCAAAACCAAAAGCAACTCCAGAGGCAGATTGCGGACTCCACGTTGGAGTTTACGTTTTCGGGTTGGACAAAACCATTCTTCACTTCGAATTCAAAAGTGCTCAAATCTACCAGGGTTGTTCGGCTTAATCCCCAACTTTGTTCAAACACAATTGAAGATCCCTTGGAACAGAATCAAATCTGTGGTGAAACTGATTCCGATGAATTATGCTTCAGAAACAGCGGAGGTCCTTTAGAAATCGTAATAAACAAATGGGGAAAAAATGAGTTACTCAGATTGGATTGCTAGTATCGTTCGTGAACAGTAAATCGATTCTTGACTTAAAAGAAAATATATAAGTCAATTTAAACTTAAAAAAAAAAAACACGAAAGCTATTCAACTTAATTACTTGATTAATTCTAAAAAAATGTTGAATATAGATATTGGCCGAATAAATAAATCCAGATTAAAAGCATGATTATTTCTTTACTGATCCTGACATAAAAATAAATAAATATCTGACTGTTGAATTTAAAATTGTATATTAAATATTAAAATTAAATATTAAATAAATAATAAATATTTAAATAAATGTGGAAAAAATTCGATTTGAAATAGTCCGTATTTTATTTAAATGCATTTTATTAGAGTTAAATATGGTTTAAATATAAAAATAAATTTTCAGATATTTAAACCAAATAAATTGAATACAAAATATTTGGATCAGTATACCAGAAACACTTTGTTGAACCCTTTTACTCTACAAAATACAAGTTTGAATTTTTATTTGGTTGTCAAAAATGTAGCCTCTGTGCAACTGGAATGCAAGGGTATACTTTATTATTATTTATTATCTTATGTAAAATATATTTTGATTTAAAATGTACTAAGCTGGATCATAAGTAAAAACATCAATTATATCGGCCGTGGTCATTCGTTCTGCATCGAAAATGGTGAGGATGTGTCACCCTCTGGAAGGATCCATTATCATGGCAAGGTGTTTTTAAGGAAGCCTGTTACACACGTATCGACGCTTAATGCCCGACACGTTCGGAGCTTTGGGGCGTGCCGAGCTGTCTGTCCGCTCCGCTGGCTGCCAATACGTATACATATGCATGCATTTTTTACAGTGTTTGCTGGGGCATGGCAGTGTCATAAATATTCTTTGCCGCTGCTTTATTTCTTGCCACGACAACGACAACGATGACGACTACGAGAAAGCAGTTTATCAATAATGCAAAATATTCCGGGGCAGAGAGGAAGTGGGTGTGACGGTGGCCACCTTCTTAGTCCCAATTGGTTACTTTTCACTGGAAAAAAAAACTTAGTGTAAAATACAAAAAACATTTTTGTAGTTTAAAAGATTTTACATTAAAAACTTAAACATGTGAGCCATTTGCATTTCTGAGGGCCCTTACTGGTTCTTTATAAAAATCAAGGATACAATTTAAAATTCTGAACCATAATGTTTTTGTAGAAAAAGGTAATATATAACTTTTATAGTAATCTCGCACTGCGTGAGAATAACTAGAATCTGCATGTTAAATCCCAAATCAGGAATATATACTTTAATGGGGTTGCAAACGCCTAATGTTTTCTACTCTTTTTAATACAACATTTTTTTTAAATTTAATAAAAAAAGTCAACCATAACAATGTTAATGTATTTTTTATTTTTAAAGCTTGCTATAAAACTGAGTCGCCTAATTCTAATCACTTTTATAGAGCTAATAAATCTTGAAACTGTGTTATCACTTTAAGGACGTTTTTCCTCTCAGTGTAGCTGTTGGCACTGGCGTTGCCCATCGAAGCGGCATAAGCTGCTTGGGCTACATCCCTAAAGCTCCTCGGCCTTCGATGCCATTTCGATGCAGAGTAGTCCCCAGTGACAGCGGCAATAGGGAGCAGCAGGGAGCCAGGAGGAGCCAGGAGGAGCAAGTGGAGCCAGTGGAGCAAAAGGAGCAGCAAGGAGTAAAAAGAAGCTGGAGGAGCTGTCGAGCCAGCCGCTGCACTCTGTGTGCATGTTTGTCGATTTGACTACGATTGCGGAAACGTATACAGTTCGTTGATCATTATCCGGTTCGTGATGCCCTCGTTTGCCGGCGACGTGATGCAGCTTTCCGGAGTTGAACTGAGTTGAACGGGGGCGTTATTGAACTTATTGCCGACAGTTCGCTGCAAGAGGGTATCTGGAAATGGACGATCGGGTTATTTGGCGAATATGCATCGACAACTAAAACACATTTCACCGGTCTCCCGACTGCCTGGTTTATGTTTTGCATTAGCGCAATGGCTCCGGCCGGAACCGGCCACTTTGTCAATTGGGGCAGTCGAGCATTAATTTCACTGGCTACTTATTGCGCATTAAATGGCAGCATCAGATCTATGGGCGCTCCTAATGGCTCGAGTGGTAATTGAATTTTTCATTCCCATTAATGCCATTAAAGTGGTAATAGTAAATTGCTTTGTATGTTGAGCTGGCTTAATTACTTGTTTTTATAATTGAACGGAAAACTATTTGGAACAATTAAGGAGCATTAACGTGGAGAAATTGATAGTAATTTAATAATCACAATTTAATAAATATTATTAGGGGTACAGGAAATACGAGCCAGAGAATTGCTTGGCGAAATTTAGGATAATTTAATAATTGTATACAATTCTATAGAACTAATCAATATAATTGGAGTTAAGCGAATATAAAGCTAGATGACCTTTTAGGTCCAGAAAATATGTTTTGGTATAAAATTAGTTAACTCGTTTTTGAAAGTGAATAGAAATTTATAAACTGTATAACGGAGTCAAAAAGAATTAGGAAAAGAAAGCTATGATATATATCGATCTTAACCTTATTAGATAACTGAAATACAGAACATTTCGAAATTTGTTACACTTTAAGCTTTCAGCCCCAAACACCCTTTGGAAATACGCCCTACTATTAACTGACAAATTGAAAACTATGTAGTTACTAGAGTGAGATTTGGCATCAGAGGCACTTCCTGTGTGGCAGTTAGCTTCGGATCGAAATCAATATTTGCAACTCAAAACGGGCGAGCATTTCAAATTCGCGATGACAGTTGACAGGATGGCAGCGGTAGCGGTAGCGGCAGTGGCAGCGGCAATGGCACAAGAAGCTGCCGCTCAAAATCAAATTAGAGCAAATGCGAAGTACTTGAAGGAAATGCGCTGCAAGCACAGGAAACCGGAAGAAGGAAGAGCAGTTGGGCAGGAAGAGGGGGGATTTTGGGCGGGAGGGGTGAGCCGCAGGCAGAGGCAACGGTAAAATCAAATAACAAAATCTGATTGAATTGAAACTGAGGTAAGCTGCCGGGCGAACTGATTTATTGATTTTCAAGCAGCGTTTTCTGCTTGGCTTTGCAAATTGAATAAGGTGAAATTTTAGGCGCCTCTATTGCTGTCTATCGCTGATATTGTGTTATAGTTTTAACAGACTTTCACACAGGTGTAAATAGAGTGTAAACAAGTGAGTGTGTAAATATATTAAAATCTTTCTCATGAATCATATGGTTTTAATCGGACGTATATGCTTGTAGATCACTTTCTTAGTTTTATAAAAGAATATTAAGATGCATAACCTGCATATAAAATTAAAAAAAACACATTTAAAATACTAACATTAATATATAAACTATTACGAAAATGAGTAATACTTTAATATAATGTAAAAACTACTTTAGATTACAATAAAAGTAGAGTTTTAGTCATTTAACTTTAGCAGATGAAGTTTTTGATCACTTTCTGGGAGCATTTTCCAGGCGCAACTGTACTTCAACTTGTCGAAAAACATTTTTTGGGGCTTAAGGCGCATCAAACATTTTATTTACAACACATTTACGCATTTCGGTCTTTCGAACGTGGCATTTTTTTATGTTTTTCGTATTTTTGTCGTTTGTTGTTTGCGTTTGGCGTTGAGTAGCGGAAATAGTAAAAGTTTTCTAATGAGAAAAGTTTCCTCACAGACAAAGAGAGGATGCGCTGGCGACAGAGACAGCAATATCTGGAGGAAGGGAGATGGCACCACAGAGACAGAGTGAGAGAGAAAGGCGTCAAGATGTCCTGTAGGGGAACGAAAAGCGAACACTGTCCATGTTGTCAGCGAATTTAATCATTCGCCACACAAACAAAAATTTAACTTGAAAATCCTGCTTAAATAAATACTTCAATTGACTATTCATTTTTGGTTGTAATTTTTAAACTTTTATGCGGATTTTAAGACATATTATTTCTCAATTGCATAGGTATGCTAAATTTGACTTAGTTTGGTACTTATACCAGTATTTTATAATAAAAATTAACACAAATTTTCTAAAAAATACCTTATCGATATATTATATTTTAAAAAGAAATTACGAATTATTAAAAATTACAATTAATTGTCTTTAAGCAAAGGTGATTAGCCTATGGAGAAAAATCAAACGACACTTTTCTTTCTCTAAAAGCGAGTTCGATATTTTTTTATGAGTGTGCTTTCTCTCCTTTCTCTCAAGGATATGCGAGTGTGAACATCAAAAACTAAACACGTCAAAGTAAGCAACGGAAATGAGAAAAAAGTGTGCTTATTTATTTTGTGTACTTTCTTTTCGCACCCTCCCCCATTTCGCCGCCTTCTTTTGACAGTTTTTTGCAATGTCGCCTGCACTTGTATTTGACTTGACGTGGGAGCGAGCGAGAGGGAGCGGGAGCGTGAGTGGGAGAGGGAGGGGGGGAGATCCTTGCGGCGACATCAAAGCGCGTTATAATTCGGAATTATGCAAAGCTTAGCAAACGTGGACGCATTGTGGCGTTTACAAGCGGAAATAATGAAAAATAGCGCGAGACGTTGAACCATTTGTCTCTATCGCGGGGGCGGCAGGGGGCGTGGCGACGCAGGAGCGGTAGCAAATTGTTGCTTAATGCCGTAACGGCAACAATACCCGGCAACGGAACACGGAGATTGCAGCTGTAAAGCGTATTCGAGGTAACACCTTGACCGGTTGCAATTTAATTGTTGCACTGGGAAACAGATTTAAAAAATCTCACAAAAAAATTGTAATGTTTTCTAATAATTTCAATTTCCTATAAACGTAGCATTCAAGATACTTAAAATTTTTTTTTTTTAAACCAGAAACAGGGAGAATGCCTTTAAAAAAAAGTTTACATTGAAATTTGTATCATGTTGCAAATCTTTTGATTTTGCTTTCGTTAGATTTGTTTGCGTAAATCTCTAAAAATTAAAATAATGATGATATATCACACCAAGGCTTATGTATTTTTTAAACTACCATAACATTTATAATTATTAAATCATTTAAAAAAAAAGGTTTCTCCGTTCTAGAAATGGGGAATAAAATCATGTCGATAGAATGATTTGATAATGCAATAATTTTAAACTTCTCACTCAAGCGGCAACTTTGTGTGTTTCGATGTATCTGCAAGATGCATCTTAAACAATAACGATATTAATATCCAATTAACGTGTTTTTTTCTATCGACCGACATGCATCGGCCACAAATTTACAAGATTCTGGATAAAGCCGCCAACAAGCCAATTAAATGCAATCCCCCCGGCGGAATTATCGGGTATATAAAGAAGTCGAACTGGCAGCAACTGTACAGCAAACACCATTTTCACCATTTTAGTGAGCCGTAAGAACGTGACAGCTCGGAAATGAAGCTATTTTGCGTTGTTTTGGTTATTTACGTTGTGGCTCTGACCCTCTTCGGTGTCGACGGACGTGGCGGGGGCACCACAAACGGAGCAGAGGTATGATTCGGTGGTTTGTTGTGACTTATCAACGGGTTTAATCGTCGTCTGTCCTTGCAGGAACCGAATATTGTCCGGATGTTGAACCGGGTAAGTACAAGAAGGTCAATCTGAAGGCCAACGAAGCCTCGGACTCTCGGTACAGCTCGATTACGAGGAGACAATGCACTAGCGTCTAGCCCTCTTAATTCAAACAAATGTGAAATGCCTAATTTAAGGCAAGGCTCAATTGTCTCTCAATTGTCTCAAAATCTGCGAAAGAATTCAGTCCTCAAATAGGAACAATACACTTAATTGTTGTAATGTCAAAAAAAAGGGATCTAAAAATTTAAAAAAATGTTCTCATTTTACTTGTGTATCTTTTTTACATTTTTATGCGAGTCTTAATCTTTATGTTTGCTTACCGTGCAAATTTTCAAGTGATATAGTAGATAGTGGACATTCATTTAACCAAAAACTGATATAACGTACACTTTTCTGGTTTGAATGTTTCTTGATTTAGATGATCTTGCTTATGCAATATCAAGAATGAATTTTGAATATTTGAAAACAAGGATAATGTAGTTTCACTGTGGATTGCTTTGATATATCTTGACTTAAATTAAAAAAAAATATTAACATTTTAAATGTGTATTTGTATACCTTTTTATGCGAGTCTTAATCTTTATGGAGTAATGCCAGTTTGCTTACAGTAGAAATTAACAATATCCATAGTAGATAATAGACATTCACTTAATTAAAAACTTTTATAAAGTAAATTTGTATGGTTTAAAGCGAACTTTGAAGTAGGTAATATTTTTGTACTACTTATTATAATAATTACATTTGTTTTCTTAGGCTCGTCGTGATGTCTTTGAGGAAAACCTGCTAGCCAATGAGCCTCCGCCACCACCACAACAATTCCGCGTAAGTACAGACCATGAATAAGCCCAATGGGTTTGAAATCTATGAGGATTCCCTTATCCAACAGCAACGTCGTCAGGCTCCACCTGGAATGCCGCCACCACCGGACGGTCTTCCAGCACCACCTCAGTTCATTGTTCTCTAAAGGTATCTGAATGTATAGCATAAAGTTGGGCGTTTGTGCATGTAAAAGGGAACCACATCGAAGCTAATAAAACTAGTTTGAAGCATTCCAAAAATTACAAAAACCCTGTCCTTTTAGCCATAAACCATAAGCCATAAACCATAAGGCAGTAAGTACTTCTGGGAAATGTAGCAGGCTAATCACCAGGTGCATTCTGCTGATGGGATGAATTTCATTAATCCTGGGTCAGGTAGAGAGTGCTACCTGATCATCTACCTGTTGTACCTATTTAAGGATGAATCAGGACTGTGTAGCAATCAGTTTACATTCAACAAGAGATAGTACAACACACTTTGAGATGAAATTCGTGGCTATTCTTCTGCTGAGCATACTCACTTTTGCCATGGTCTTGGCGTTTCCTGATAACCACGCTGCAGATGTTGGTTTGCCAGATGCTGAGCAGCATGTTGTTTCACTGGCCAATCCGGCAGATACGGGATCCGCAGATCCATCATCATCGGCAGACGAGATCACTAACAGCATACGCCGGCCTCGTTATCTCCTGAGCAAACTGTTCCAGCCGAAGACCGTGGTGGTGCAGCCTGTGATTGTGCAGCCGGTGGTGCCCGGAGCATATCCCGGATATATGCAACCCAACCCGTACTACAACCAGGGCCGACGCATCTGGTAGACCGCATTTTAAAGATGTACTCGTAGTAAATTTAATAAAACAAAAGACGCCTGGCCCTAAAGTCAAAGATTAAGACTGTTGTTTTTATTTTATGCAAAAGGCAAATTCCTTAGCGCAAATCCCCTAAGTCGAGAACAGTTGCTGCCGTCTTGCCGGCCACTCCGCCAACTCGCAATGGGAACTCTCTAATGCCTAATTAGGCATGCCGGGCACGTAGCACCGATTCCCGAAAAACTTAGTGAAGGTCGCGCCTCGGTGACGCTGACAACAACTGCCACAAAGGACACAACGTTGCGGAATTTTTAAATAATTTTATAGAAGCGATTGGCGGCTGACACCAGAGTTCATAGTGAACTTTAAGTGCTGGTTTTCAATAGTCCACTGCTTAAGAATCTGCAAGTACATTTTACTTTCCGTGTGCTACAATTTATTTTCAATAAAGAAGACGGAAGTACGATGTTATAAGTAAACGGAAGTAAACGGAAGTAGACGTCATAGAATGCTTAAATAGTTACACAGGTACAATACGCTTAATTTTTATACCCTTGCAGAGGCTATTATAATTTCAGTCCGAAGTTTGCAACGCAGTGAAGGAGACGTTTCCGACCCTATAATGTTATGGTTATGTCGTAAAAATATCAACCCAAACTTTCAAAACAAAAATGCAAATTTTTAGAAGAAACTATTCGCTTTCTCTTTTGTTTTTGTATTTAATTAATTATTTCATCATAACGAGTATAATTTCTAGTCTTATTGTTTTTCTGTGTAAGGAAAATGGTTAATAAAAATTTACTTCATTATTAGTAATAAGTAAAATATTCCAATCTTTTAAATAGGTCCCTACAACTAAATGAAAATTCTTAAACTAAACAATGTAAAATTGATTTCGCATCTCAAAGCGATTTACCAAGTATCTATCTTAATAGAGAACTGCATTATTGCAAATTGTTTTTCTGTGTAAGGAAATAGTACTTTTAGTTTAAGTGAGTGATATTAGATTTTTATTTAAGAAAGGCGCCCATGGGATCCCAGGCAGGCAGCTCCTTGGTGTGGGGGATTCTACTGGCAAATAGAACGTTTGGTGGCACGAACTTCTCGTGAACCACAATCTCGAAGGCGTATTCCCTCAACCAGTCAGCGTCCATTGAAATGGCCTTATTTTTGGAGGACTTTTTCTTTAGTTCCTCCTCTTTGTGTCCATCCTCGGCGTCTTGGTTAATACTCACGCTGGATGAGCTATCGCCCATAACCGAAGCGCTAATGGTGCGGAACTGCAAGGGCTGGTTCATGGGGTCCAAGCCAACGGATGTGAGCAGTAGGGCCGCATCTCGTCGTGTATCTTTGTAGATGAGTCTCTCCGCTTTGGACAGGGACATGCCCACTTCAAGGCCAAAAACTAAGTCGAACTTATGGGACTTAAGGCTTAAAGGCTCCGATTTGCCACTAAGTCGACTGTGAAGGTCGCAGCTCAGCCAAACAGGCTTGTCGCCGGCCAGAGAATCCACAATTATTTGCATTATAACATCCATGGATTGGTTGTTATACCTGTGCATCTCACCACCTATCATATTGGAGCTATGGGTGACCTGATAGTTGGTCCACGAACTGGAGGACATCCGAGGATCATGACCAAGACAAACGTAGGCGTCCACATCGACCGTGGGTGCCACTATCACCTCGTAAAAGAGCACTGAAGTCAAGTCACTCAGGGACTGGTAGCGTTTCTTGTGGTCATAGTACGTCCAGGTGAAAACCTCAGGAGGTTCTCCTAAACAAATGCTTAGCACGTTGAACAGTTGCGGAATCATGCTGTGAATAAGTTCGGGCAGCTGTTTGCCATTGCCATTGAAAGTGAACTGGGCATGCAGCTTGCTGGCATACTCATGGAGCTGTTAAATACAGATGCTGTGCACTCATTTTAGCTGGATGTTCGATTGTACCCACCTTGCTCCTCAGTATTTTGTTCATATTTCGTATCCTCTGGCTGGACAAGTAGCATTTCTTGGGCATTACGCCGTACTTCTTGACCAGGTTCACGAACATCTGCCAGTTGCCGCCATCCGGAATGGCGTTCTTCATGAAATGTCGAAAGCAGCGTCCATCTAGCGGTTCGCATTGCATCAGCAGATCGGCCACCGTCCACAGAAAGTAGTTGCATCGCTCCAGTTTATGCCAGAAGAACAAATGGGCTGCGGAGAGCTCAAAGTCCGCCGGAAGCGGCACCTTTCGGTCCATTTCCTGGCGCAGCAGGTCCAGACCCGTGCAAATCCAACCAGGACCGCCTGTGGTGGCCTTTCCCTGCATTTCGACAGCATGCCAGGTCCTTTCGCCAGAAAATACTTGAGCACTCAAGTCGGCAAGCGAACGCAGACACACGTTGATGGGATCGCGAGCGGTACACACATTCTGGGCCAGACGATTCTGCGGTGATTCGTAGAAGTCGGATTGCCAGGCGGACCACTGCGATTTGGTCAGCGGAAAGTTCATCCTCTTATATTGGCCACTTTTCCCACTCAGAAAATCGCCAGTGGCTGGCATTCGAGAGAAGTGCATAAATAGACACTACAAATTTAGACACTTTAGTCTTTTGGTGCGAACTATTTATCGTATCGAATCCAATTGTCAAACGTTTATATTCCTGTATATGTATAGTTCAAATGTCATTCTGTCAAAGTTATGATTTAGAAGCCTCCATAACATTATTTTTATAAAACAATTTTAAAGTGTTATCAAATTGTTTTTGCTTATGAAAATGTAAATAACGATCAGAAATGTTGTTGACCAGTCCTAATTTAATTAAGAACATTGCTGCCATTTATTTGCGTCTAGCTAAGTGCATCACAATTTGCCAATTTAAAGCGCACAAAAGATCAAGGTTACTAATTAAGAATTCATTAAATTCGATTGGAAATACCAATGAAAAGTAAGACAGACGACAGTCGGCAGCAGCAGGGTCAAATGGGCCAAGGCCTTGTGTGAAAATCCCATCCCTCATCCATATACCAAGAAGCTCGGTAATTATATTCCAACAGAAACACGCCCACAATTGTTTGCACTGCCGCTGCAATGGACAAATCCCTAAGACTCTGGTAATGCGAATTTTCCGCTTATCAATCGCATAACCTAAGCTGGCCGGTAATTCCCGGTAATTGGGCCACACACACACACACACTCGAGGCCGTAGGTAGTGTGAATAGGGAGATTATGTCTACTAAGAACACCTCATGGACTGGCAGCTAAATTTGCATTTACCAGAGACTTCAATAGCTGCGCCGGCAATTCACCAAAATCTACACACCTTAAGTTTTAAGGCGAAACGTATGCTGCAAATGCGCTTTATTTAGAGCGTTTTATGTACAATTACTTGGTCCTAGACGAACAGGTTTCCCAGGGTTCGCTGAAGCTCTGCGTTCAGCTCCTCCATGGACTTCTGGACACTGGTCCTCACCTCGTGCTCGATTCGCTGGGCGTAGTTCTTCGCGTCGGCCTCCAGCTTGTCGCGGTTGTCGAAGGAGTAGCGATCGCCCAGGAATGTGCGGCCACCTATCTTGGCGATCACCGTGTGGTCGGCCAGTTCGATGACGATATCGCCATTGGAGTACTCCACCTGGGCCGGCTGTCCGTTGATGTCCACCGTTTCCTTCTCGTTCACACCCGCTGCCTTTGGCTGGAACGTGTACACCTGTCCATGTTCATTCAGCTCGATTGCTCCGTTTATGATCCGCACACTGCGTCCATTGCTGTTGATATAACTTCCCTGGCTTGCGTCGCCATAGATGAAGTTATGGCCATCGCTCTGAATTAGGCTGGATCCCGACTGGCCGTTGATAATAACGTTGCTATTAACCTGTCCGTAGTCCTGGTATGAGTCCTCTTCGCTGGAAGCATCGTTCACAACGATCCTGTTGCCATCCGATCCAATCAAGATCGTTTTGCCATCTGCTCCTCGGATGATCTGTCCAGCTCCGTTTGATAGGAAAGTGTGCCCATTGTTCTGCAGAATCTGTTGCTCATCGGATTGCGGAACATTCGCAGCTATATGAAAAATATAGTTAGTAAAATTCTTGGGAATGGTTCACAGTTCAAATGTTCAAGTCTCTATGATTTAATTTTACTAATTTTCAAAACAAAGTAACAAAAGTAACACATTTTAAAAGAAACTACACTGATACAAAAATGGAATATAATTGACTATTGAATTCAAAATTTTATGTTTAATAAATGATTGAATATTAAAATATTTAAAATATTCAATATATAAAGTATCCTATTTGATTTGAATGCATTTTATTTAAGATGAATATGGTTTTAACTTAAATAAAACCTTAAGATGTTCGAATCAATTTCGAAATAGTCAAACAAGCAATGGATGCAAGTCAAAGCATAAAATATTTAAATTTAGTATAAAATATTAGGATTTACTACGTTTATTTTTACCAGTGAATAATTACTTATTTGCTTAACACTTTTTATTACTTGTTTGGAGCTATGGACATAAAATATTTACAGGAAATTAACAAAACGACGATTACTTATTTAAGGATGACAGCATCGCAGTGGTTCTACTTGAGTTGAGAGGATAGGAGCACTTCTTGAATGCGTTAGCTTGCCCAATTATCAAAGGGTTGACAATGTGTAACTTCTCAAATTTGCAGTCGATAGCTGTGATGCAGGAATTGTAGCAAAATATTTGTACTTACCAGTAGCCAGAGAGGCGACGCCGGCCACTAGGCCCAATAAAATCCAAGTTCCAGTGCGCGAGCCCATGTTGCATTGACTATACGAAAGCCAAGTCAAGTGTCAGCTATTTATACTAGCGCATCGCACGCCGTCGCCGTTCTACCCATATATATTCTATATGATTCGTTCTCAGTGTACTATAGTAGCACTCTTTCACATTGGCAGATAACACAGGGGAGGAGGTCAGCGGTGCAATTGCCGGGGAATTGCCAGCGACGGGTTTGTTTTGTTTACTTGCGGTTGAGCTGCAAAGCAACCGATCCACTGAGTCACCGGCTTGCCAATCGACTCCCGATTTTGACGGATCGAGAGAGTGTGGAGCGTGTCAAATCGGGAAAGCTTTTTAGCCAGGCCAGTAGTACGCACATTTGCCATAAACCGGCCACAGTTGGGCGTGGTACAATTTGCATAATACTGTAGAAAATTAAAGAAAGCACGTGCCGGCTTTGTTTTGACGGTCAAGCCAGGGAATCTGAAAAATTCCCATATTACTGGTTTTCAACCTTATCAATAAGACTTTGCCGATTATCAGTTCGATGGATTCTGTAAACAAACAACCACTAAATAACCGTTTATCTATATATATTTCATACATATTTAAGTGTTTTCAATAAAGCTGCATTATTTATACAAAAACATAAAGATTATTAGTTTACCTTAGCCCTGGCATAATAAAGTAACTAATGATAGGTTTCAGCTCATATATGGCAACTGTTTAAGTGTTTTAGGCTTAGAAGAAGAAGGTTACAGCTCATATATGGTAACTGTTTAAGCGTTTTAAGTTTCGAAGACATTGAAATGTATGTAATTAAGGAAAATATTTTTAGTGACTACTAACATGGGCTTTCGGACAAGTAAAATTGGCTATTCCAACATATATTATATTGACAAAAGTTTATAATTATGATTAAAAAACCTAACCTTTTTTGGAAAAGAATTTTTAAAATTTGTATTTAAATTATTTTATTTGTAAATCCTTGCCTGATTGAGCAATTTTAGGGCTAAGTTCGTTTTTACCATACCAAAATCCATTTCTACTATTCACGTTCATGCAAAGTGTAACATTTTGAAAAAAATTGTACTTTTATATAAGCAAATTTTCACTTATTAAATAAAATTTAAATATAAATGTATAGACAAATATAATTTTTAATTTGAAGTCAAATGAAGTAACATTATTGTATATTTATTTGAGTATGGCAATGAATGGAGTATTATCGAAGAAGATTCTGGGAAAAACAGTTTGAAAACACATCATTTATGCGGGTATTCATAGGTTTACTGGAAAGCGCATCACGACTCGGTAGTTGGTCACGCCTCCTCCACTTGGGTAAAATTAGTAACGCCACTTGCCGTTTCCGTTACCCTTTGAACGGTATATGATATTATCGGTAGACTCGTCTTCTCCGCCATTCCAGGCGGGTCCACCAACTGGCCCGGAGTTTGAGGCAGGTCCCCAGCGCCACGGATTGCCTTGCACTTCGGGTATAAAAAAATAATTGTTACAAATTTGAAAGCTATATGATACATATAAATATATGTATATATATATACCACTCACCCGTGAGGATGGCGAAGCAGAGCCAGAGTAAGAGCACCGCGATATGCTGACTGAGGTACATGGTCAAGGCGAGGAGTTCCAATGACTTAGCATTATATAGACACACTTATTTTATACGCCTCCTATCGCCAAGTCGTTCTCAATCTCTCATTCGATTCGTATCTCTTGGATTGCCTCAGTGTCTCTCTTTCTCGGCCGATGTTTGGATACGTGAGTGGTTCGATAATGGCTCAAGCCTCAAGCGGCTTATGCATAATGCAATTTTCTGTGTTTGCACTCTTTCAATTCTCAGTCAAACCCTCGTTCCACGACTGTCACATACACTTAAAATAAATTTGTACGAAAATTATATGAAAAAATAAACTTTACGGAAGGATAAGTTAATATTTTTCAAAGCTTGTATCGGTTAACTTTGGCTTTTAAAAAGTACTCTTTTGAATACACTTTTCTTAAATCCAAAATTAAAAGAAAATTGGAAGGGTTTTGACGGAACGAGCTTACAGATATCTAAGTATTGAAATTAGGAAATAATTTGTTCTTACCCGACCTTAAATATCTAGAAAAAAATACATATGATTTGTATCAAAAAGTTCTAAAAAACTAGATTGACTTTGAGTCAATAAACAAATTGAGTCATTAGAGGTTTTGTTTAGTGTAAACGCACAATAGTCGGGCAATTAAGAAGTTTCGCCATGTGGCTACGTTTCTAATTATTTTCAATTGAATTGCTTTGCTACACGTAGAACTTTTTCCATTGCTAGTGCCATTAAACATATCGTCGAACTGCTCGCTCCCAGCTCGAATGCCCGGCCATTGACATCATCCGTGACCCACGGGCATTGAGTGGCCGGTGGGTGTATCGTGGGTGGGTGGGTGTTTGGGTGGTTATCTGTATATAAGCGGTGCTGCATCGGGAAAAGTTAAGCTCTCCCGCCAAGTCAAGTTTCACAATAAAAATTAAACAGGTATTGCGTTGTTTGTTAACGACAAGTGCTTCGTTGTTGCTGCTCCGTTTGAGTGGCTGTGGATTAGGATTAGTTCGACAGATGGTGGAGGGAGGCCTCGCAGTGGTAAAATAAAGCAATTGTTAAGTGGAAAATAAAATGCCGGTGCTAAAAGTTGGACTGCTTCCAGGGGAAGACTGAATTAGCAGGGTGTGCAAACTATTACAGTCAGAGTCTGCATGTTAGTGTGCATACTGTTGCTTTGCTAGTTAGGCAAGAGCTTATTAGTTAATTCTGAAATGAGTATTTGGGTAGTTGGACTAGTGTAAATACTAAGGCGCTTATTTCCTGTAGTTTTTGGTTTATTTTCTTTGGATTAAGTACTACACATAAAGGGATGATTAGTTTGAAATGGATCGGAAAAGAATTAATAAGGTTTTGAGTTTGCACCAAGCTCTGGTTAACTTTATTCCCAGGTATTTTTGGACTTATTATTATGCCATGTTTTTATGGACCATTAAGCTATATTTACACAGTAAACTTGAATTCCATTTCCAAGTGCACTTTATGTGTATGTGTTTGGCTTAAAAGACACCAACTAAACGATTGATTTTGGTTAATGGAAAGGCTTATTAAATAATAATTTGTTCATTGTTTATAACATGTACAATGTTCTTCTTCGCCCCAAAGGAAAGTTTTGTGTAAATTGACTTACTTGTTAAATTATTTATCGCATTGTTTTAGCACATTGGTGCTGTAATTGAATTCAGCCTGTCAAGTTCAGGTTAAAAAGCTTAATGTAACCTCAATGTGTGGCTTTGGCTTTTATTGCCACCCCCAAATGTTCTTTATCGTATTTATGGGCGACGTACATTAGCTCAACTGCAAATCGAGATCAGAAATGTTTCCAAACGGCGGCAAGACAAACGACTTTCAGACTGAAATACGGCTTGTAGGTTGGCCATGGGTGTCGGTTTCCGTTTTGGACTAGGGGAATTCCCCTACAATCTGCGCCTGGTCAAAGGCAAATCCATATCATTTGTTGCTGTTGTTGCTGTTGCTGCTGTTGCTGCTGTTGCTGCTGCTGCAGTGCGAATCGAATCGATTTGATTTTCCAATCAATTAAACTTTATATAAATTGCGTCTGCGATGCTAAATATAACAACAATTGTAGAGCGTAAGCAGCGCCAGCAACAACAAACATTTCCACAAAGCACAGAGCTACAAAATAGCACTAGAGGTATTTGTTCTCTCACTCTGTTCGTTTCTCCCTCTCCCTATCTATCCCTCTATTCCCTCTCTCTCACTCTTTCTCTAGAGCGAATGCTCTCTGTCTCTCTTCAATGTCTCTATCAACGGCTGACTGCACAATCAGAAAAAAAATGTGTTCAATGGGGGCGATCCCCATACACTGATGTATAAATCGCGATTTAAAATCAAGCACTTTATAAATTAATTTATGCAATGTCCCATCTAGTAACAAATTTAAATGATGTGCAATTTTATACACCTCGAAAAATGTAGGAGGCTAATTGGGGTATGGGCGATCCTATTCCGATTCCTTTATTTTAAATTACTCATTTTTTTATCTTTGGATCGTTAAAATATAGAGTAATATTTTAAACAAATACTTTATTAAACGGAAATATGTGGCTACCCAATTCTAGTCTTAAATACAAATTTGAAAAAAAATTCTTAAAACAACAACTTCAGAGATTAATTATATCCTAAAACCAATCAGCAAACACAATGTCGCGCTTTTTAAATTTATTTATTATTAATTTGAATTAATTTGAATTAAAAATTAATAGAAGAAATAAAAAAAAAGTATTTAAATTTAATCACACATTTTATCACCAAACTTCAATTTAAAATTTTAACAGAAATTGTTCATTAGCAAGTTCTTAGTCTCAACCTTTTTTTTCTGTGCAAGTTTGTGAGCTGCTGGTGGGTGGAGCGGTGGATCTGTTGGTGGTAAGTTAGTTGGGTTAGGAGACACTGTATACTGCACGACTTTGACTGCATTTTCGCATTTGGCCAATGTTTTGTGTGTGATTTTGAAATGCAGACGACGATGTTGGGCTGCTGCAGGTGACTTGCGACGTGAGCCATTGTTAGAACAGTGCCAAGAGAAGAGAAGAGATGAGAGCGAGGGGGCCAAAGACACGGAAAGTGCATTTGATCAATCGAAAATGGCAACAATCTCGGGTTTTAAAGTACTTGCACAAAGGCAGGTGGTCTTAATGAACACAATTAGCCTAATAAGTAAACAACAACTTGGGGCAAAGTGAGCGTCAGCGAAGCGACATTAATTCAATTATTTGGGGCGGGCTTTACTTTACAGGCATTACCTGCAAGGGGATGAGGATTCATTAACGCTAATTGAGTACATTGCCCAGGAATATATATACTTATACATATACATATATATATGTTTGTTATGATCCAGGATAACAGCACAAGTGTTTTCAAATGTAGAGCCAGCAAATTACAAGTTGTCCATGCAAATTTATTTACACGGTGCCTAATTTGGTTGTTTAGTGGTAGAGGAGAAGCTTTAAGGCAATATACTCAATCACTTTGAACCAATAAACTAATAAATTAGTTTCTAATTTGATGGAAGCTGATAGTAGTTAGCTGCTTATGAGGGTTTCAATAGGTTTTCACAGAGTTTTGAAGATGTCTGCAGACATATATGGAGATATTATTTCATATAAGGTAACAAATTCGTTTAACTTGTTAGAATAATTAAATATTTTCTTTATGATAATGATTTTGCGGTAACATTTAAGTAAAATATGTTGCCTACCCCTGAGAAAACAACATCGACAAAAGCCTGACAAAGTTATGCAATTCTTCTCAATTTTGCTCGATTTTTTCTCCATTCGCTCAATTTTTTACTCCTTTCAAGACATTTTGCACTTGGACTAATTTCAAAGAGCCATATATCAGCCGCTCCCCATTCACACCGTGAGCTTGCAAAGGAAAATTCCACTCTCTCCTTGCGAAAGGACACCTGTAGACCGGCAACTCTTGTACCGCCCACCAACCCCTTTTCACGGGAAAAACCTGACAAATGTGCGTCAAGTTACTGGCAACTTATTTTCCACGGCTACGCCCCGTGTCCGTCCACAGTTTGAACCGAAGTTGAGCAAAAATATTTAACTTGGTGGCAGCGGAATCTTTTATAATTAATTTGCCACTCTGCCGGCTTTTTTACTCGCGGCTCACGACCCGCGGGCTTTTCCCCATTTCAGAGTTGGGTGGCGGCTTCATATTTCACCCATTAGATGACGCCCGCATTTTCCTGAAATAGTTGCGCCCGGACACGTATTTATATTCATGGGCGAATGTTACGTTTTCTTTGCCCGTTCGCTGTCTTTAAGTTTCAAGATTGCGATTTATGGTCGTCGACGCGTCGCCTGGAATAACATACCGACAAGAAAACTCAGCATAAGATTTGACATTTTGTTAAAAGGTAACTTGTATGGATAGTCAAGGGGAATGATGTTCCACAATGTATTTCAACGATTAAGTTCGTATTAGAAATAATCTTCTTAGTTTGTCGATCTATTTTAGCACAAAATGAAATAGAATCAAACTTAGAAATTAAAATATTAAAAAATCTGTGCATTTAGGGCGCTAAAAGAAATCATAGTGTTCTCTTATAAGATTGAACTTTTAAACCAACTAAATGTTAAATAGAAAACAATAATTTATTCATAATATAGGTTTTATTTTTAAAATGGTTCAAGATGACTTCACTAGGGACCTTCTGGGTATGCACTATCAAATGTTTTGTATGTGTATTTTAGTTCTCGTCTGAGAAGATATAAGGAATGCAGCATACTTATGGCCTGCATTAGACTTCTAAAACCGCCTCTCCATTAAGACCATTCTTAACTCAAGTCAGCGTGAAATCGGCGGGAGAGATGGGTATTTAATTGACAAAGAAAGTTTTTTTTTAAAGGAATCACTTAATTTCCCGAGGGTACCCAAAAGTAATCGTACAGCAAAGTATCCCATGGCAAAAAAAAATGAGTTGTTCCTTAAAGCGTTTGTCTGTATTTAAGAAATTATTAAGATATCAAGCTAATATATATTCAACAAATGTATATTAAAAAGGGTCTCATACATATTTTTTAAAATTATAAAAAAAAAGAATTTTCCAAAACATGGGTCGCTAGCCCAGTGTGCAGTGTACAAAATTGACTTTCAAAGCTAATTAGATGGTTAACAGATCTTGAATGTTAGAGTTTAAAAGCTTTGCGAAGCTTTGCTGATAAGCTCATCTACTGATTGATGGGTTATCTGATTCATTGAGTTATTTGCTAATTTTTGTTTGCCTAGCTCTGCTTGTTTTCTGTATTTTAGCTGACTGATCTCAGATAAACACGAAACGTTTTGACGATCAGTCATCTATTTGCATTCTTCACAATGAGGTCGGTTTTGCTTGCGATGCTGCTGGTGCTCGGATCGAGTATGGCACAACTTGTTAACAGAGACTATGCCTCACAAGGAGAAAATGGACTGATAAATGGTGGTAGACCAGGAGGTCCTTTTCAAAGTGACGATCAACAAGGAGGACTAATATCTGGATCAAGAAATGAAGAATCTCTTGGCCAAATCAGAAGTGGATTGTTCGGAGAAAGTAAGACAGGAGGCCCATTTCAAATTGGGAATCATCAAGGAGGTCTAGTTTCTGGAGGTAACAGAGGAGGTCCCTTTGGTGGTAAATATAATGGCCCAGCTGAAGGTGGACTGATCAGTGGCAGTAAAACTGGAGGACCATTCGCCAGTATTCATCATCAAGGAGGTTTAATTTCTGGGCAAAATAGTGGAGGTCCATTTGCCAGTAACAATCGTCATGGAGGCTTAGTTTCTGGACAAAATAGTGGAGGCCCATTTGCTGGAAACCATCATCAAGGAGGTTTAATTTCTGGACAAAATAGTGGAGGTCCATTTGCCAGTAACAATCGTCAAGGAGGCTTAGTTTCTGGACAAAATAGTGGAGGCCCATTTGCTGGAAACCATCATCAAGGAGGTTTAATTTCTGGGCAAAATAGTGGAGGTCCATTTGCCAGTAACAATCGTCAAGGAGGCTTAGTTTCTGGACAAAATAGTGGAGGCCCATTTGCTGGAAACCATCATCAAGGAGGTTTAATTTCTGGACAAAATAGTGGAGGGCCCTTTGGAAGGAATCAATGGGCAGGCGATGACCGCAGTGGCCTCATTAGTGGTAGCCAAACTGGCGGTCCATTCGCCAAAGAAGGACTTATTTCTGGAGGAAATAGTGGAGGTCCCTTTGACATAAATCAAGGAAGATATGGATTGATCAGTGGCAGTAAACGTAGAGGTCCATTGGCCAGTATCAATCAACACGAAGGACTAGTTTATGGAGGAAATAGCCAAGGTCCTTTTGGAAGTGGCCTAGTCAGCGGAAGCAATTCAGGAGGGCCATTTGTAGCTGGCAATCATCAAGGAGGATTAATAACTGGAGCGAATGTAATAGATCCATTATTCAGCAATCATAATGGTCTGATCACCGGTAGCAAGACTGGAGGACCTTTTATAACCAGATCGGAGGAATCGGAGCTCATAACAGGAAGTCAAACAGTAGGTCCTTTAGGGAACTAAATGTAATAGAAGTCCGTCTATTTAAAGGTTTTCAGCAGTTATGAATTAAGTTGAAAAATTAAACCTTACCAAGTAAATGCAAATCAATTATTTTATGGTTGAATAAAAGTGGAAGAGGCTTATAAATTAAATTTAAATAATACTTGAATGCCACGAGCATCAGAAGCTTAAGTGCCACATTAAGTGCTCTTCACCTGAGGCTTTAAAAAAAAATTTGCAGCGTTTGTATACATATATTTTCCACACTTTTCGTATTATGTTGTCGTCACACAAGTCATTTTAGCGCCTGCCACGTGAAAAACGGTGGTGTGTATATGGGCGTTAAATGAAGCATGTGCGGGTGTCCAAGGGGGGTAGTGGGTGGTGCAGGGCGAGAAGCAGAGGCAGAGGCAGAGGCAGAGGCAGGTGCAGGATATAGGTGGTGCCAGTGCAACTGCAAATGCCACAATCTTGCCGCTAGCTGGCAGTTTTCGCCAAGCGAAATGAGAAAATGAGAGCAGTCCTGCTCGCAAATGTTGCTGACAGCGTCACTTAGTCCGCTGCCTCCATTCCACGGAAATATGCACACATGCACATGCCAACCTGGATATTTGGCATATACTACAATATATATTTAAGTATTTAAATGCATATATGTATAATGGCGAAAAAGTGCAAATGCTTTGCGCGCACCTCAACGCATAAATGCTTAATGCACTGCAAATGAGTGGTGACAAATGGCCTGACCAGGCATATAATAATATATTTATTATTCTATATACCAGCAGTTAGGTCGCCAGGAGTATAATTTCCTATTTCCAAGGGTTTCTGTTCACACTCAACATTTTCTGTTTCCGCTTTTCGGCTGAAAGCGGTCAGCGAGCCAGGTCAAGCGCAAGGCAAAGTAAACTAACACAAAACAGGAGTGGATGTAGGTGTTTCCGAAATGAACTCAATATTATACACTACAAATTAACATTTTGAATATCTGTTTGTGCCGAGAACATATTGCAAATTTACAGTATATTTTTAGTAAAATAAATTCGGAAAGTTAATTTTTAGTACAATGTGTACAAAATATATTAAGTGTACGTAATGTGATGATTACAGTTTCAGTTTTTCATTGAGCTTCAAACGTATATCATGGACTTAAAAAAACCGAGGGAAAATATGAAAATTCACATTCACGAGTGTCTTTATCTTTAAGACACATTATAAAAAGTCTTAACTTAAAAATTATATTATATTAGCCCAATATATTATATTAACTAAAAAAATTAAATTATTTTATTATTAGTTAATAAAAACATAACCCATTTAAGTAATAATTTTTATTGATAAGTTTTTTTAAGGAAGAAAATGACTTTTTGACTCAGTGGATAAAATCACACCCATCTTCTTCTTAAAAGTTATAAACCTTTCAACACACGCTGAATCAGAAACTTCTATATAACCAGAAGCGTACCAAGGGCAACTTAAACTAGAACTGCGATGGCAAAAAGTTTTATCTGCTTTCTGTTAGCCTTGGGCGAAAGTTAAATGGTCCAGGCGCAACCTTTTATGCAGTTGTTTATGGACGTGAGTGTATAGAGGGTGGTGCTGTCATACCTGGCTAAATTCCTTGGTCCATTTTTGTCGGTGTCCTCGGTTGCAGTTTTTGGGTGTCGCCCTTTCAACTCGCTTGATGAGCGGGCTGAAGAACTTTCGAGTATGATTTATACGATCCGGATACTTACTTGCGTATCTGTGACAAAGTGCTTCTCTGATTTATAGCCCTAATGGAAAAAAACAAAACCATGCATTGCTATTGAAACACATTGTTGCCAAAAAGGCTGTCAATGCTGCTGGTTTGGGTTGAGGTGGTGCGCCACCAATAAATTCATTTAAAATCTTCCCAAATTAAGTTTATTGTTATTAAAGCAATTATAAATTATGAAAGAACTTTACAATTTATCAATAAGATAATATATAATATATAAAGACATATTACCATGTTTATGGAAGTAGTAAACGATTAGAGTTTTGTTTTCTGGGTAATGGGTAATAATATATTTGTAATTTTAGAATAAATCAACTGAGATTAGACTCTCTATCTTAAGGTCTCATGACTTTGACTTTTATAACTAAGCATAGGGAATAGTTAATTAAATCGAAAAAATCCAACACAATAATTGGTACAGTATTAATTAAATATATTTTGTTATCTACATCAGCAGGCGGTTTTTTTTTTGCATGTAGTATATGATAATGATTATGCATTTTTCTGGAATAATAGAACAATTAATAGACGAAATATTTATTGCTGCATTGCTTTTGAATATGTATGCCTTTAAATCGGAATGTTGTCGGTTTTATACTATTGTTTATTGATCTGTTAATTTATTTTATAACAGCAAGGGTATATAAGGTTCGGCTTGCGGGAGTAAGCTTACTTCTTACTAGTTCTAATAAAGTCACTCTGGCGCACAAAACCTGACTGAGAAGCTCAAGCTGTCTTCAGATGTCTTTTAGTTTGGCCTTTTGACAAAGCTTAGTAATAAAAGAGAACAAACGTATCTTAATGCTTAATTTATTGAACAAATATATTGATCGTATTGTGGCCGTTGGCTACGATCGGCTGGCGACCACCATTGGAGCCGTTCACATCGATTCTCTGGGAATCCCCCTGCCCGACCACATGAACCTGGTTGTAGTTGTGGTAGTCGATGCCATTGTACCGCGCCGTCGTCCAGTAGTGCAGAACATCTCCCGTCTGAAGTCGCTGGTTCCGATTGCGATATGTCCAGCGTCCGTTTCGGGAACTCACGACATCGGCCGCCCAGGTCTGATCGCTCAGATCGTCCATCTCCTCGTTGAGCTTGCCGTGAAAGGCGAACAGCGAGATGCCCGGCTCGTCGGGAATGGATACCTCGAATCCCTTCGGCGAATTGACCTTCACGGTGGCCTTGGGCACATCGTAGGCCAGACTTCCGCCCAAGGAAATGGCGACTAGGAGCAGATAGACTGGCAGCTTTGAGGTGTGCGACATCGTGGATGCGAATGGATTCTGTCGAAAGCCGAGACACGGCTTTTGTAGCCCGCCATCTGAAGCTTATCGTCTGGATGCTTATTGTTTTTTTTGTCCCCGGTAAGCTGTGAATTTCCCGCCGGTTCATCCCCCCGCAGCACGGAAATTCCGCCGAGTGCCTAAAAGTAAACAATACAAATAATATTATTATTAAATATAATATTTAGAAAAAAATAGAGCTGGCAAATAAAGATGAGCTTTAAGCTATAGCCTAAATGAGTGTGAATTGCTCTGGGACGATGACTACTAAAGAAGATCGGACTTGGCTTCACCGTAGAAAAAAAAATAGAAATTTACATTTCCTATGTATAAAATGTGTTTTTGGAATACTTTCCTGGTATTAATTTAACACTACCCAAGAGTTTAAAATTCATGTAACAATAGTTTAGATTCTAAGAACATTTTTTTTTGGGTGAGGTTATTTATATGTTTTCAAATTTGAGACGATTCCCATTGCCACTCCCCTTAGACCCAGTGTACAATTCCTCCGCAGACCGTGAATTCGGCCACGTGCCCGAAAATATGCAATACAAATATTTGCATAGCAATATTTCTTAAGAAAGGGAGCGGGTTGATACAGAAGAGCTTTAAGCTATAACCGCACCACATGAGTGCGGTTTGCTTTGGGACAACGACTCCTTTGTACCATAGGAGACTGTATATTGTACATGTACATAAATATATGCAGATGAACCGCCCGCCTTGTTGGCCACACAGCAATCCTGCGGCATTGTTGCCGGTGCTGTTTTACTTTTCGCTGCAAGTATGTAAGTAAGCAAGTACTTGCCACTCACCTAAACACAGGCCCGGCATCCTTCGTCGGCATTCGCGTCGCAGACACAGCAAAAGGGGGTGGTGGTGGTCCTTCATGTGCCAGATACTTAGACAGTCAATTGCTGTCAGTGGCCCAAAGTCAGGGTGCAATGTTAACTATGCTGCCACTGAGCAGGCGGTTAAGGCTAGGAACATACTCGAACCACTCAACGCACAGAAACTGACTGCTTACAATGTTAGACGAAGTTCGTTAACTTGTTTTATGTAATTATCGTATTAGTTATTATATATTTAAAGTTGTCACAGTAACTTCTTGGGTTGGCTTTGAAGTCATCTGTCTGAGTCAGTTATTTTATAGAGTCTGTGGGGTTCGAACATAATTTTCTTACAGGAAGAAACTTTAATTTGTTTCATTTTGATGTTTTGTTTTATTTAGTATTAACAGCGAAACAAAATGTATACAATCTTGTATTAAATTAAATTTATATTACTTTTTTGACGGAGACCGTTATCATTTTATCATGACATCCTGGAAAAATAAGAACCACAAGATATTTACTATTTTTTGAGCGAAATAAATCTAAGAATTTCAACAATTTTTTCCTTTAACCAATATTAATTTGAAATTGGGGTTTTTTTTCGGTCAAAAAATAGATATGAATTTGTAGTTTTTAATATATTATCATGAACCTTCGGTCAAAACAAAATTATTATTTTGTGAGCGAATAAATAAAAATTAAAAATTAATCATTTAATTGTGATTATTTAAAGTCATTGTAATATTACACCAAACTAGTGCATTATTTTGTTTGATTTCCAAATCATTTTGCTATATAATTCCTTCCTTAAAATGTGTACGTCCGAAGTGGGTTGCAAACACTGTATCGTTGTTATCAGCCCTCGGAGTTTCTTCTGCTCGTGTATCCCGGGAGCGTACTTAATGCGGCTTATGGACCCTGGACCTGGCCTAACCAGATGGTAGTTAATTCTTAATTGCCCGGCTATTTGTCAAACAAAATGATTCAGCTCACCGACCCGGACGGCCAGCTCTCGCCGGACTGACAATTGTCCCAGAAACAACATTAAAACACACAAAAGCGCAATATCAACTTCTGCACACCGCACCACTTACCACCCAAAAAAAAAAAGAAGCTAAATGGAGATGGGGTTAGGAATGGGGTTGGGATTGGGGTGGGACTGGGGAAAACAAGCAAAGTCAAACCACAGCAAACCGAAACTAAATAGCCGAACATTTATACAAGCAATCTATCCGGAGCCGGGCGCTCAATCTATTCATTCAGTCATTCGGGCGTCCACTCACTCGGTCATTCGTTCACTCGCTCATTCATTCATTCGTTCGTTCAGCTGTCCATCGCAATGCGGGTCGCGATGCCGGGGTCATCTATCCTCCAAATGTTTGCTGATGTTGCGCCCAAGCGGCTGGCGCTGATTTATAAGCTGCATGCCGCTGACCACTTGATTGCGTATCTGTGTCCCGCTTCCACTCGCTGCTGGCCATGTGTGTGTGTAATTTATTTACGTTAACACGCGCCGGCCCAAACCATGGCCCACAACCATGGCTCGAAACACCCAAAAAAGCCGGTAGAGGATGAAGAGCAATTTTCATTTATTTTAAATGGCATAGAAAATTGCAAACTGACATTTTTCTGGCCCAAGTGCTCAGCTTCGGTTTTGGCCCTATTCCATCTTTACCATCGGTTCCCAATGGCTTTGTGCACACAGCCGGAAATTTGTGTAGTTGTGTAGCTTGTGTAGTTTGGTAGTTCGGTAGATGGTTGTTGGAGTGGCATTAGATGCCGGGCCAGGTCCCAGACTGATTACCATGAAATTACATTGTTTCGCACTTAAAACATGCCGGCCAGTGTAAATGTGGGCCAATAGCACTCTCCATTGGTCCCCACACCAGTTTCGGCTTAATTAAGTGGCCTGTTTTTATCTGTGGCAAACGTTTCTTTGCCTCTCACTCAGTCCACCACTCAAAGAGCATTGAATTTAATTGCTTGCATTTATTGTTAATTGATTTTATTTTTAGCAGTTTAGCATGGAGTGGTTTTTTTCGGGCACTCGGGTGCTTTGCTATTTGTTCGGGCGTGATTTAATTTGTTGATATTTGCCTAAATTGAATGAAAATTGATTTGGAACTTAATCAACTTTTTTGAAACTGTCAATGATGCCTGTCAGAAGCCACAGCAACTGCGAAAAAAAGGTTATCGCTGGAGGAATGCCATACAGTCATTGAGCATAATTCAATCAGCGGGTTGATACAATATTTTTGTGAATAATTTAGTGAACATTGCTGAGCACATGTAACGCTTTTTGTAATGGATAAACTTGTCGAAAAGGCAATATTAAATATTCGTAAAAACCAATAAGCCCGTTACATTGTGCGCAATATACACACGAATATTTATTAGAATTAAATAAATATTCCATCGTTGTTTATTTTGCAGACGGCAATTAACAATTATGGTGTGACGTTTGCTAGTGAAACTACAATTTTGTATTTTTAGAGGCACCAAAGCTTACCTAGTATTAAAGGGTGTGTATAGGATTTGCGATTTAAGCGCGGCTAATTAAAATTGCAACCATAAAATATTTGGTTTCAAATCTCTTTGTGTTATAAAGGACGGCCCACATTTTTTTTTTAAATATTTTTTTACATTTAAGACACTTTAAAAACCATGTCACTAAAGCCGTACTTAGTTCACTCCCATTTGATACGTATGTTTATATCTTCTCCGCAGGCAAATCACAGTTGTGGCTTAATAAAAAGTGTTCAGATTGTAAAAAAAAATTGTAAAATAATAAAATACTTACCCATTTCTTTTGTTAAATAGTGAGCTTTGAAAAACTTTTTGTGTCTATGTTGTTACAGTCAAAACGAACATAGTTTCTATCTAGATTTTAAAATAGTCGAGGAGTTTTTAATAGTGGTAATGTATTGGCTATTTTAGATTCGGCACTTTTGGACATCAATGGACTTGCATAGTTACTTAACAGAAAATATAATTTCTTCATTTAAGGGACTTATTTTTGGAAATTTATATCTCTGCAATTGTCATTTCATGTATTGGCTTTTAGGGAAGTCAAAGAAATAACATTAGAATTCTGTGGCTTTCTCGATAGATGTCCTATGCTATCCTTCTTGGTCGCTTTCGACTCCGTCTTTGCTTATCCATCTCAATTTCCCCATAATCAATTTTACTGAGCTCGTGCAAAAGCAAACACCTTGGCACTTCTCCGCTCACGCACACCCATGTTCGTGCACACTGTTCATATAGTATAGGTATGTTATCTGGAGAGTAAGCAATAAGCCAAGCCAAGATCTATCCAAGCATACACCTGTCATGGCTCACACTCGCTACCCATACGACTTGCACTTCCATGCTCCCATTTTGCAAACCACAACCACTTCGCATGTAGCTTCTGCTTTACACATAAGTTCAGTTGCTCAAACATGGGGACAGTTTTCCCTCGACCCCCGCTTCTTTTCCGACACCACCCAGGGCTCCTTGTGCCATTGCGCACATATTTAAAGAGCAAACGTTTATCTAAGTTGTACCGTTGCGGTTTCCGTTGACATTCAAATGCGGAAGCACCTGTCGCCCAGTCAAGGGGAGCCCGGTGACTACGACTACGACGCGAAGATGTTCCACTCAGGACAGTCAAGGATGGGTAGTTGCGATGGGCGTGGTGGGGCTGGCATCCACTTCCGATTTCATACGCATACGAACAGGCGCATGAGTACTTGATATTGCGAGGGTGGGTTGTGTGGTAACTCTTTAAATGATTGTAAGTTCTATTTAAAGATCAAACGCTTTAATCTACTTGGGAATTCCCTCAAGGCCTCTTTACTTACACATTCTGTTTTCTCAGTTTACAATTTTTCTGATTTTTCAGATTTGAGATTTTCGACAATCAGAGCTGATCTCAAATGGTAGAGTTTATATAAGAAATCGGAATGAATAAATAAAAAAAAATCAATATCAGACATTGTAGTAAAATTTAAAAAACGACTGTATACAAGTATAGTTTTTTAAAGTTTTCAAATTGGTCTTGTTATAGTTACAAGGGTTACACCCTACTCTATATTGTTTTTAAAAATTGTACATGTTTGTTATAGTAACAAGGGTACAAACTCACTTTTCTTGACGAAGCATTAACAAAAGGGTTACTATTTACTATTATATGTTATGTAAAGTCTG